CCATCCTAATGGAAACGGTGGTGTCGAGCGAGTCAACCACACTATGGCACAAATGCTTGCCATGGTTGCGAACGAAAGGCAAGATGATTGGGATCTTCATTTCCCTCATGTGGAGTTTGCGTGTAATAACTCTGTTAGCGCTGCCACCGGTTTAGCACCTAATGAGGTGCACATCAGCCGTTTACCTCGCCTCCCGATGACTGTCCTCGAGCATCCTTATGCTCGTGGTCATCAAATTTTAGGTCGCGATCATCTCGAATATTGCGACCTCGCTGCCGATCGCCAACGTCGTGCCTACGAGTTGGTGCGCGAACAGCACAAATTATCCATTTCTCGGATCGAGCGGCGAAACTCCGCTCTCTCGGATGCTTTACGCAAGCTTCCGACTTACGCCATCGGCGATTGGGTTTGGATCTATACTACCGAATCTACCATTCGTTCAGGTGTTCGATCAGGTACCGACGACAAGGTTCTCAAAGCGAAGTTATCGTTGCTTTGGATCGGTCCGTTTAAGGTGTTGGCTGTCGGCCCCTGTTCGAAAGCCCCTGATGGCAGCCCTCTCGCCGCCAAGTTGTTGTACTTGGATGTTCCCTCGGACCTGCCGTGCAAAGACTCGAAACATCGTGTTTCGGTCGTACGCTGCAAGCCATGCGCCAATCCGCATGACGCTGAGGACCTGCCGTGGTTTCTGCCGGGTGGTCTCACGCATTGTTTAAAATAACTATACGACTAAATCTCCTCCGTATCATGTTACGGAAGATGACGTCTCGACCTCGGTCGAACGTCTCGAGGTTGACCAAATTACGGTCACCAGTCTGTTCGAGGTCGTGGTGGTGTCATCGCTGTCCTTTATCAGACACATTGGAAGGGTCTTTTCCGCCCTTCTTGGGAGCGTGAGATAGACCTTCAGCACTTTCGATCGCAGATTCTCCGGTATTGGACGGGTGCGCCCGATTGACACCGTCAGACCAATCGCCGTTACCGTGCCATGCGTATTGGCGCCGCCGCACGCGAATTGGCACGTGCTACGGGCGAGAGATATCTGCCTCCGGGTTACTCCTTTGTCTCCCGTTCAACCTGGGACCGTCGTTTCGCCGATACTCCTCTACCTGTGGGTGCGTTTTTCTGGTACAAGGCTCAAGATGGACTTGGGTGGCTGGGCAAGATTTCTGGACCGACTGAACGGGCCGACCACTACATCGTCCGCTTCCTCGATGACCCTGGACCGATCAAGATCGCCCTCTCCGATGTTCGCTACTCTACCCTCGGATCTGCCGTCTGTGGTTCATGGTGTTTTCAAGTTCACGGCGGGAGCGCTCTCATGAAAGGACTTCTTCGCAATGTTGATATGTCGCGGAACGTGGAGGAGGCACATTCGTCGTCCGGCGATTCGACGCACGCCCGCTAAGATGGCGCGTTTCAGGGTTTCTGTCTGTTTGGTTTCTGTGTGATGTTTCAGTTGCGATGTACGCCTGATATGCGGTTTGCGCTCCAGTACTTGTGGGCTGTTATTGCCTACTAGAGTAATTCGCGGTGTCAGATTTCGTTTTGGTATTTCGACCCCTTCTTCCGTCATCTTGACGATCGGTTTGTTTCCGTCTGGTACGTCGTTTAGTCCTCCTTCGAGTCTTTCCGCTCTTCTGCTCTTTCACCATTCGCATGGTCGAGCTTCGGTTCCCTGTGGCGGTTTGATGGTGTTGGTCCTCCTTGTGGGTCTACACCTTGTTTTACTTGTCGAAATGTTTGGTTTCTTTCCTGTCGGGTACATTGCGATGCTTTTGCATCTTCCGGGTTTCTTGGCGGTTTTCGTTTATATGGGCCAGCCGTACATGCTTTAGTCGCTCCTTGTTGCCTCGGTGACGCTGACTGCTTCGAGTTTCTAGTCGTTCGGTTCGTACGTGTAGTTTTTGTCTTCCCGACCGTGGTTTTCTTGTGTTTTCTTTCTTTCTTTGGGTCCTGACCTATTATGGTATTTGTAGCGTTGACGGTTTTTCTGTTGATATTCCTTTCGTTCGTCTGTGTTCGTAGCCCCGTATTTATCCTTTTTCCTACCTCTTTGTTGGGTCAAACGATGGTCTTGCAGCTCATCGTGTGAGAGGTGTGGGAGGGTGAATTTTGGTAGTTTGGAGCTCCGCATCCTCGATCCTTTCATTTTGGGATCAGACAAGTGATCGTCAAGTTCCGATATTTCAAGTATCTGCGTATGAGAATCTCCAGGGTGGGCTAGTGTTATGGGATTTGAATTGTAGCAAGTATCAACGGTTTGCGGCGTAATTCCCTTAGGAAAGTGCGGGAGATGTAACTCCCGCTGGAAGGATAAACCCGGGGACAGGTCCTTTGTAGCCCCTATTTGAGGGAGCTCGACCTCCCCCACTACTGTGCTTAGTCTACGTTTGAGAGCAAGGCAACAACAAGCACTGCTGTTCCCAGAGATTAATAAACAAGTGAGTCTTCCGCAGGGTCTTCAGGNGGGTTTGAATTGTAGCAAGTATCAACGGTTATGCGGCGTAATTCCCTTCGGAAAGTGCGGGAGATGTAACTCCCGCTGGAAGGATAAACCCGGGGACAGGTCCTTTGTAGCCCCTATTTGAGGGAGCTCGACCTCCCCCACTGTGCTCAGTCTACCTTTGAGAGCAAGGCAACAACAAGCACTGCTGTTCCCAGAGATTTCATGAACAAGTGAGTCTTCCCCAGGGTCTTCAGGGATTGCTACGCGTGAATCCCACAACAGGGGGGTGAATTGGCTAAAATAATTCAATCCGGCACGTATCGCGCCACTCGGTCCGTCTCTTCTCGCTTGCTTTCTTCCCTCGCCGTCTCGTCCGTCTCCTGCCCCCCTCCCGCCCCATTGGTTGGTAGTAATGATAACTGAAGTTGCCCATGTTATGGATTAGCAAGGCTACATAAGTCAATGTTCAGTGGTATCATAGCAGTGGAGATCTGAACGGTTACACCACGTCTTGAGGAACGTTCTCAAGAACAGTAGTTGATGCAGGGAAACGAAGTAGGACCCCTTTCGTTCCTGGAACAGCATTATTGCGGATCCCGGAACGTTTCCGGACCGGTCTTTTTCCAGAACAGTCTCTAGAACTAGTCTAGAACATGCGTGTGTGCTATTCTAGAAAGAGAAGAGGTGCAGCCAAGCTCGCTCCCCTTTTCTCT